AGGGAAAGAATTTGAAAGAAATTCAGGCAAAGTGCTAATTTTCAAACCCCTTTGGTTCTCCATTGGCTCAAAGTTGTTTCTGTTCATTCTTCTGTAAAATTCTGTTCATTACATAATCAGAAACACTTTAAAATCTTCCAGTTACAGGAATTCTCACCCTGTTACTAAGGCCAACCACTCCAAAATTACCAAGCAGTAATACAAAGTGCTTGTAAAAACAGCTCTCCAAATTAGCTAGTTCAGCCTTTCAAAACTTAAAAGCACTGTAAATTCTGCAAGCCGTTGAACTGCTTATACACAAGCAAGAATCCTGTCCTGCTCCCCGAGCAAATTGGCACCTCAAAAATAGAGATGGAGGATATGAAAAATTATTGTCACCACACAATGCTAGGAGACAAAAAAAACCCAGAACATCCTCCCCCCCAAAACGCCCAAAATAAAACCCCAAACCCAGTTCTTACAAAATTCAGCAATGCTGAAGTCCAAAGTTCTGAGAAACTCTAATTTAAAAAAAAGCAGGTGCCTTTGGTCGTTTCACACCACCACGCTGATGCTACAGGCCAGGTCAAAGATCATTCCCGCATGTCCACAAGCGGCACAGTGCCTTGGTGGTTTTGTGGTGTCCTGTCCCCAAGAGCCGTATGGGGGCTGGCAGCAGCTCACGCAGTCCTCAGGAGTACGCAGCAGCTCTCAGTGGCTTCCTTGGCTTCCACATGCCCAACATTCAGAACCATGAGCATCACCTCCTACCTCTGAAAAACTCACTGCAGTGGGTTATTAAGAAAACAAGCTCTGATACAGGCAGATTAAATCCCTGCACTCTGGGAACAGATTTTGATAGCTGTTTACTTGCCCCATCTCATCAAAGGGCTTCAATAAAAGCCTAGAAATGCCAACCATAAGCACCTGCCAACTCTATATACATCTCTTGCCAACTCAATATACATCCCTTGCTCCCTATAACAAAGCCAACCTATTGGGACACAACCAAGAAATCAGCCTAGGTGCTTGGCAGATGCAGGGCCATGGGATGCACTTTCAAAAGCAAAAAATATTTGCTCTCTGAAGATCACTTAAAGCTAGATGTGTTCTTCTTCTGTATCACTTTGGGACACTCTTCTTAAACCCATCTTTCCTTACCATCAAAGCTCTTGCAAACAACCCGCACACTTGACCCCATTCTTGGTAATACATGACTGGAATAAATGCCATTGATAACTATTAGTGAAGAAATAACCATGAAACATCAGTAGCAAAACACTTTAAACATTCAGCCCACCACATGTTGGAACAAGAGAGAGAGAGACTTAAACAATCCATCAATGTTGCTTTATTAAAATCTTTATTCACACAATGTTGCTTTATGTGGAATCTGACCCTGGGGGATACAAGTAGAAAGTCATGATTGCATTCTGTTTTCTTATTAACAACCTCCATTTGTGCAGCTGCTCCCAGGGGCAATCCTCTGACAGCTCCGAGAGGGGTGTCTGTTTCAAGCATCTTGCTCCAGCTGCCGCAGCAAATAAATTACCTTCTTAATAAATTAGTATTTTTCAGCTGAAGTTTGTTTGGCAAGACACACTCCAGTTCATTAGCTGCTGGAAGAGGAGCCGACTTCAGTGTCTCCTCTAGCCCTACTGCTGACTTAGGAAGGAGGAGATAGATAGCAGATGGCCGATGATGCTCTCTTTTTAATTAGTTCTTGATTTCTGTGCTTCAAGCGCTCTGATATTACTAATATCTGCAACACAACCATTTTGTAACATCTGGAGCCAGTGAATCAGTGTGCACAGTGAACAAGAATTAGAAGGTGTCATGAAAACCTCATCGACAGAGCACAGCACCTGCCTCTATGACGCTATTTTTCAGAGATTCAAGCAGACCCCGTTTGCATGTGGGTGCTACTTCTTATTTCCTTTGCAGTGGTTACAATTTAAAATTTCTCAGGGTTCTGTATTCAAGCAAAACAACAATCACTGCCAAAATGCCAGAGATTATCACAAGGCCAAAATCCGATCTTCCTGCTTTTGGGTAAGAGAGGAATTTATTCTTCTTTCCTGCTGCAGAACACCAAGCTCCAGCGGTGTTTACAGTGACCAGAAGCATCAACATGACAAAAAAAAGAAGACAAAAAGCAACCATTTCTTACTTCCTCCTACTAATGATGCCGAACTTCACGCCCTTTGTTTACAATTAAACCAATACAGTGCTTTAAATGTTTGACATTCACACGGGGGGGGAAAACTTATCCCCAGGTTCCATCTGATGACAAAAGCTTCAGCTTAGAGCCCCGTGAACAAGCAATACATAAGCCCTGAACACTAATTTCATTTTGTAAGACAGAAAGACTTCTTTTGGAATCCATCATTAAATCAAATATAAATGATCAAGAGCGATCAAATATAAATCAAAACTTCAAATTTGGGTAGATCCTTCCCAAAATATTAAGTGCTCATGATTAAGCTCAAAGAGAAGAACATGCTTTTAAAAATGCTACAAGCCACTACCATGTGCTTCACCGTCTCCCCTTTGTGTAAATCATCTTCAACTTTCTGGGAAACAGTTTATGCCAAAATGCCTCAGTAGGAATCTGTTCTGCTTTAGAAGAAAAGCATTCCCTAACCACCTAACCGTTGCCCGCAGTACTTCCCAACACTGCCTCGCTCGAGTGCCAAAGTCTGACTGCCAGCCCAGCGCCGGGCCAGCCCAGCCCAACGCCGGAGCAGGGCAGTCCCCGCGCGGCTCCAGCAGCTGGGCGCACGCGCTGCTGCCCTAAGAGAACCTGCAAGGCACAGCCCACGCCGGTGGGTTAAACTCACCGAGGGACCATGCCTTCTAAAGCATGTGTTATATCGAGTACAGCAATAAACAGGCACTGGCTTAACGCCAGTCTCCTAAAAGCTGGCTGTGCGTTAGTCCTGACTAGTAACACCAATAATTAACTCATTCCTGACTGTGGGGTGGGTCTGTGATGTGGCCAAGTCCAGAAGAGATCTAGAAGAACATAAAATTCAATTCCAGGTAAACAGTTGCATTCTACTTTCAAGATACTCTGCTCAGGCAATGACAAAAAGACTTCAACAAAATAAAACTGCATTTTTAAAATAAACTCGCTCGCTAACACCTCTTTGATCAGGTATGGCACCAGGTGCAAGAACAGGAAACAGCTCTTTATCTGCCTGCCACACTACTGCCGAGCTAGAAAGATTTTGACAGACAAATCAAGGAAAAGGTCTTAAACTAACACTTTGCTGCTCTTGCTCACAAGTTCAATAATACGTAATCACTTTGGGAAGTGAGCTCCTTCCTTGCTTCTAAGGACCATACTGTCTGAACTGAAAATCGATGCAAACCTGTTAAATTTGGAAACGTAATGATGAAGCTGCTTCCCTTCTGGAGACGCAGATTCAGACCTACCACAAGTGTGACAAGTTTTACGGCCACAAGCTCACCCGCACTGCAGGCTGACACAGTGCTGAAGGATGACAGGACTAGCACAAGATGAGTGCCACAAGTCCGCCCTGAAAAGCTCACTTGCACCGACTCTCCCCATCTATGGCAAAACCATTAGGAGCCAGGACAGGATGACCACCCGAGCGAGAACATCACGGTGGGGGTTGTTGCAGAAAGCAGCTGGGGAAGGCAGAAAACTTACTGGAAGTGCTCACGGTTTCAGAGCTCAGCCACAAGCCAGGCCAGGTAGATGTTGGGACTGAAAAACTGCTGGTGTTTCACAAAACAGCAGCACTGAGCTGCGATTACAACATCGAGCGGCAGGAAGCTCCCTCCGTATGAGATGATGAGGAAAGACCACAGCTCAGGGTTCTCTCTACTCTTCACGGCTGTTGGTTACTGGGGAAGCCCAGCAATACACCTCTCTCTTGCCAGTGCCACACGCCCGGATTCCCCAAATTAAATAGGGCATAGAGTAAGCAGCATGGCCTCGCTAACGGAACCTGCTTCCAAGGACAGATTCTGTCCTCCTTCTCGGCTACAATACAATGAAAATTTGGTTAATATGGACACAGGACTGCAAGGATATTTCCTCTACTCAGATTCCTTATAAATGGAAAACAGTGACAGGACACATTACTTTAACCCCTTAATTACCAAGTGCTGTATAACCACCCTGTCCTCCCCTAAATCTCCATCCCTGTGGATAAATCTTCGATAGGACTTCAGCGAAAACACTGAAGCGTTATCACATATGAGGCAAACCCCTTTCCCAGCCTTTTACCGAGGAAAAGACAACTGAGCAGCAGAGGTCCCCTCTCCCACCCCTAATGGCATTCAGAAGAACATCCCACCCCCGGGGGGGTGGCACAACTCTTCAGTCTAATAATTATTTTATTCACCACTTCCTCTTTCTCTAAAGAAGCAGTAAAACGCCTAACCAGCTCACAGCTGATTATGTACAACCCTGAATCAGACAAACACTCGCAAGAGTATACGTGGGGAGGAGAAGGGGAGAGGATCGTACTGTTCATCTCCATTTTTCCCCTCTAGATTCAGTCCACAAATTAGTGTCTGTATTCCACACACTTCCACCAACACCAAGAGCCATTTTTATCCAGTGCAATGTCCACTGCCGGCAATGGACACACCACAAAGGCCAAGATGCCATTACGGGTACTGAGCCGTCCAAGGCTCCAACTTCCCACCTCTCACTGCTGTCAGCCCAAGGTAAAAGCCAGCGTCACCTCTGTTTCTCTGGCTCGGAACCTCTCCTGTTCATTTCAGTCCATCTTGGCCACAAGCCTTTCTGAACTGATTGTGCTGTTTTTCTATCGCTTTTTTTGTTTGTTTGTTTTTTAAAAAAAAAAAGGAGTTTCATCTGTGTTCCACTACAATTACAAATGAGACAGTGTCATCCTGTCTTCCACCAGCACAACATCTGGGCCAAACTGGTCTGTGCACTGCTTCACTGTAGCCAGAATGCTGAGAAGCCGCTGGTCTAGGGCATCCAGATGAGGTTCAGAAAGCACGGGTGAGATGGGGTCATGCGACATAGCAGTTTTTAAGGCAGACTTCAGTACTCCATTCTTCAGGTAATTGAGTCTGTTCCAGGTAGAAACCCGGATGCTGCAAAAGAAAGAAACAAAGATGTCACCATACCACTGTCCAGCTAAAGTCCCATCAGCAATACCAAACGCCAACCTCTTGAGGGAGCCTGTTACATCATGATTTTATTCAAACAAAGGAGTCTTATTACAAAAGCGGTTTTGGCATGGGAGGGTCCAGGTATAACTGCATTATATGCAATACCTAAGTGAAACTTGAAAACTGAAGGTGAAGCAGAAAGAATCTAATGTGACGTAATTCTTATGTTATACAGGAACACTTTCAGCTGCTAGCAAGGAAGTTCTTTGGTCCTGAGGCCTCCCGGACAGAGTTTGAAAAGGAAAGAAAAGGAAAGAAAATTAACAGTCCGGCTGTTAATTCAAAACCAAAACTCACGTCACCTCAAGAAGAGCATCGCCGACCAACAATTAATCACAAAGGACGCAAGTCAATCGACTGAACTTCCACAGAAAGTGAACACAGCAGTGATCTTTCTGCTTCACTGCCATTGAATTTGTTCATGTCAGCCCATCTGAACTGTCTTGTTCTGTGAAGTCTCTTGGGATTCTTCCCCCAACTTTTGTGTTTCAGCACCACTGGTCTAAACTCTTGGCTTTTGATGGCCTCCAAAGAAACAAGCAATGTAAGCGTTGTTACAAACCTATAGTTAAAACAATTATACATATGACTTCTTATATGGCATTTGCCTGGTATCAGAAGGAAAGAATATCTGAAAAGCAGAAAACTGCAAAGTCTCTCACATAGATAAACTTCTCTTGTGGTTGCATTTGGGAGAATCTAGATGAGAAAGACTCCAAAAGATCCTCATAAAACAAGAAATCAAAAATGCATTTCAAATCAATGTAGGAAAACTAAAGAATTTGAAATTAATTTACTTTAATGATTCTCCATACGGATTCTGCAAGAATCTTGCAGAACATAGGCCAGGTGTACTGCAGCATGCATAGAGCCTTGCTTAGCACAAGCAGGGGCTGAGAGCTCAGGCTTTCTGCAGAGTTCCCAGGTTTCACAGACTCCAAGGAATTTGGGAGACAGAACCCTCCAAGGACAGGCTCAAGGAACTCTCAACTAAATGCTTAATTGGGAAGGCTTAAAGGAGTTATCTTGAAGTAACAGAGGCAGGAAATGGATATATCAGTACTTTTCTTCCTGGTACTTTTATCTATTTGTTAATGAGAAGTAGCAATGGCCTGGTGAGAGAACGGCCACAGAAAACAGAAATCAAACAAGTCACAGCCTCTAAAAATAAAACGAAGAAAAACACAGCTCACAAGGCCAAAGCAGAAACAAAATCCTGCAAAAAAACGTACAAACTTCACTTCGAAAGAAGCACCCTGAGCAGTGCTGCAGTCTTGTTTAGAAAGAACATTTGGAAATACAGGTAGTTAAGTTGCCAGACACGTTGAGTCCTTAGCTTCTGTCAGGGAGAACTCAAACTGTGCTGTGAGCTTTTATTCGGCAGGAGCTGGATGCAGACAGCTGCAGATGCAAAGTACCTGTCATACTGACTAAGGATAGATTTGAATCAGTGACCTGGAGGCGAGACTACTTCCTACAGTCTACTGTCTGATTTACTATCTTAATAAAAATGTGTTTCTCAGCTTCTTGAGCAGTGACAATGCATCAAACATAGTACCTCAAAAAAGTAAAGCACTATGTACCCAAGTGAACCTTTTCAGGTTGCCAGAAGGCTTCAAACTTAATTATATTGCAAACCTAAGGACAGCAATTGCATAAGTAAAGTGAACAGCATCCCTGCGTTTCACTTACATGCAGCATTGATAAAGAGGAGCCAAGATGCTTCTTTCATCCAGGGCAGGGTTTCCAAAGCTGAAAAGCAAAATTAAAACCAAGTGAACCACTTGAACTCCTAATGTTGTTCTCAACATCAATAGATTTGTAAAGAATTAAAAAAAAAATCAATACTAGGCAATTTCATGCTCAAACAGATCAAATCATTTAAATTAAAATATAAACAGGACATGACCAATTACAGATATAACTCTCAAAAGCATCAGCTAATATACCAGGTAAACAGAAGCAACACTAGCGTACCTAGTTCTTTATCACGCCAAGGCACCTTAGAAACGAACTTCAGAGGAGTTTAGAAATTGAGCTCATCTCGTGAAGCAGGGGAATGGAATAATTGGTATTCTGGACACAGAGAGCGGGAGCTTTGCCTGTCTGACACAGCTGGACAGGGCATGAATAAAATAGCAGCCACGTGCTGTTTTAGATGGCCAAGCTTAGATTAACAGTTCAACAAACAAGGTTGAAACAAACACTTTAACATTTCATGATCACACTTTCTAAGGGAGGCCTGCCAAAAGGATTTCATAGTATTTCAAGCTTCATCTGTACACGCTTTTTTTTTTTTTTTTAAAAAAATAGTTTCACCTCCCTCCTAATACTGTTTTCAACAAAGAACTTTCCCCTCAATAAAGATAACTTACTGTAGAAGTTTGGCATTACTCTGCTCAAATACTTCTGTTATTAGTAGCTTTAAAACTGGAATAAGCTCCCCAGGGAAGTGGTCATGGCACCAAGGAACGTCTGGACAATGCTCTTAGTCATATGGTTTAGTTTTAGGCAGTCCTGCGAGGAGCAGGGAGTTGGACTCGGTGATCCTTATGGGTCCCTTCCAACTTGAGATATTCTAATGATTCTATGAAAAAACTGTCCCCCTACCCCTTATCTCAAAAGAGCTGAAAGAACTTTACTTAAGCTTTGAAGAAAACAATTTACTTCTGGGCCTGCAAAGCCCCACCGAAAATGTTTTCATAACGTTATAAGCACATACCATAATGGAAGGTCTGACATGACCTTCAACTATCATATTCACTTCCAGTGACTAATACACTAATTTCCTCCTAGCACATTGCCAGAGCATTATAGAAAGACAATTTTTGCCAAATTCACCTAAAGCAGTCTGAAAGCAGCAATAATTAGGCAGTCCCAAGGTGGAATGCATCCTGCTGACATAACTGAAGGAGTGTTACTGAACAGGCTGATGCATAAAGACAAAATACTCAACACAGCCACTGCAGACAAATTAGAAACAAAGGAAGGAAGGAAAGAAGGAATCCACTATACAAAAGGCAAATGGGGAAAGAAATGGTAACTCCAAGCCTTCCAAGGATCTGTCCAGAGGTCTCAACTGCTGTGTACACTTTGTACAAGTGGTATGCAAAGCCACTGCAGAGCAGAGCCTGGCACAGGGACGGCCAGAGCTAACCATCAGAAGCTGGTCCATCCGCACAAGGGGAAACTCACTGCCACTGCAGATGGTAGTGCCCATCAGAAAAAAAACTCGGGAGTCTCCGGGCTAAATCATGAGAAAGTGGAATAGGTTATATTTGTTTTTAAGAAAAAATAAGCAAGTTGTTATGATTTAAACAAGGCTGTATCGTCAATAGGCTTTTTAACTATACCAGCCAACATACAAAAACTATAGCAAAGATTGAACAACTCACATTTTAAACACATATACTTAATAGTTAAGTTTGGCCTCAAGAAGGACTTCTCATCAGTTCCCATCAGCCACCACATGCTTAATTTTTGATTTGATAATAGTTAATGTCCACACTCAGGACATCATCATATTTTGCTCTCACTATCAGTTCTATCTCCATTTTAAACTTTTAACCTTTTAAAGCCAGAGCAAACAGATCCAGAAGGCAGGGAATACCAAATTATTCAGAGACACGTTTTGAAAAGATCTACTTTTACTATGGCACTCACTAATACTCACTGGTAAATAATAAATCGTAAGTTTTTAATCTTCCATTAATTAAAAGCATAAAAGGGAGGGGCTTTTCTGGGGACAGGAGGAGAGACACAAGCAAACCTTTGAAAGTTGCTTGGGGGAAAAAGGTCATACTGTGCTAATTTGGGCATTTCTGTAGTTTGAGTAAGACTTTGCCCAAAGCAGTCATAGTACCTAGAGCACAGTAAGCGTCACAGCCTTTGAAGGGCCCTAATACTTGGTGAGTAATTTCTGATAAGAAGGAAAGCTTTGCATTTTTAGCACAAAAGGTATTAATGAAAAAATTAGTGAGAGAAAACAGAGCAGATAAATGTGTGCCCTTGTGCCCACCAATGCCTGGCCACCAGGATTTCCCTTACCTTTTGGCATTATCCAAGAGGATGAGCATACTGGCTCCTTCATCATCCTGGAAACTCTCATAGTGATGCCGGTCAGCATTCCCAATCAAATAGTCAAAGATGGCGGTGTCAATGATATCAAGAAGACGGGGGCCCGAGTCATAGGGTGAAGTCTTCTTCACAGCATCACAATAGCTTTCATCATACTCCCACCTGTGGGCAGTCAAAGAAAACAAATCAAATCTTCAAGGAATACTCCATCATTGCACACCAACGGTATTTATGGCTGCCCCTTTATTCACTTATGAGTGCGTAAAGAAAAGGTGAGCGCAGCAGTCAAGGCTATATAAAGAAGAAAGAGCTAGACAAAGTGTTTTATTAAAAGAGTAAATCCTGTATTAACACCCTAGCGTATGGAGTAAGCTATGGTTTCAGTGCAAGGTTACACATCATCTTCCTACAGAAAACAAGGTCAGAGTTTGCTTGCTCACTGCTCACAACTCGGCAGTGGTCAGGCTGCCTCACGGCAAGATTACCATTGTGACTTGTCTCCCTTAATTTCCTAACTGAGGACTTCAAATACTGTGTCTGTTTCTATTGCCTTGACCTGCTTCCATCAGTCTTGCCTTCCAGTGATCCTCTTCATTCTTTCTTTCTAATGCAAATAACCTCATCATGGTTACTAATGACCTCCTCTGTCCCGAGGAGAAGCGCCTCATATGTGCTCATTCTCCTTCACTCACAGTTGTCTTTCCTCCCCACCTTCCTTTCAGAGCCTCTCACCTTATTCTCCAATGGCAAGATTTCAAGTTGCCCTTTTCTCTCCTCTCCTTCTACGTATAGCCTAGGCGTGTACTTGTGGTCTTATAACATGGATGTCATGTCTCCATTCCCCAAAGCTAGGATTTTAAATTTTCTCATTTTCTTCTTTATAGTTTTCAAAGCTATTCAACACCACCACCAAAACAGCCAAATCTCTGGTCTATTTCCTCTCCATCTGTCAACCTAAATAACAAGTACATCTATAATGTCTTCCATGTAACAATCCTTCACAAAACAGCAGTTAAGTTGGAAATGCCTTAAACCATCTGTGAACTGTAAACAGAAATGGAGGAAGCACATGCTGGAGAGACTCACTGACAGGCTCAAAATTGCAGAAAATCATAAAAGCAGGGAGAAGATCATAATTTAACTACTAGAACTGCCACATACCCCACCTCATCTTCTAGAGGTCTGCAGCCTAAGTTCCCAATATCCCATCTTTCCTCCAGTTATCCAAATCAAAGTGGCCAAAATTTTATTTTCTCAATGTTTTTGTTAACATGTCACACACACTCCTCAAATGCTGTCTCTAGTTCCCTCCTTCTTCTGCATCAAGCTCCAACTCACATTCAACTTACAGCACAAACCCACAAGGCAAAAGTCTCAGAACCTACTCCTCTTTGTACTGGATACATTTCTTTTATGCTACACCCCTCTCTCCCTCAAGTGTTTCTCTTCCTCTCATTTTACTTTAGATGAGTACTTAATCTCCTTGCAACAATTTTTCTCTCTTCTCATTTTTCATTCACTCTTTCAGGACAGACCTTTATCCGACATTTATTTCTGATCGTTTATATCGCATTAGCATAGGACTTCGAAGGTCAGGGATTTTATCTATTACATGTCCATTAAAAATTATGTACCTTAATGTGACTATATGAATTATGTTCAAAAGGTCAACTCAGGACAGAGTAGAAGCAGCTAGATCAGGAAAAAAATTCCTACAGAGTTATTTTTCCATAATTACCAGACACAGAAAAAGGAGAGCATGACATCTAGAACATTTAATTCTCCCGATGCTCTCAAAGCGAAAAGCGCGACGTGACAAGGTGCAAAACAACAGAACCATGCAATCCCATCTGAACGAGGCACGAGCAAGTAAGTTTAAAATACAGCAAATATCAAATCACCATAGGTATCAGGGTAAACTCCTGTATAAGCAGGCAGTTTATGATGAAAAACAGTCTCCAAGAAACACCTCCAAGGAATTCAGTCAATTCGTTACTGCAATTTACTGTGTGCTAAATACAGCTGATTTTGACCTGCTGAAAAGGAGATAACATCTGCTGCTCAAAAATCAAACTGTATATTTAATACTCTAAAAGAATTCAATGAAGCCTTCGGATGAGATTCTTTCTGAGAACAATCACATCATTGGAAATCAATAGATATTTTAGATCAAGGACTAAAAATCTCTTTCTAATCTCCTGTCCAGGACACAGACTTCGAAAAACTTACTAAGCTCGAAACCATCTGCTCTGGTCATGGCAAAAATATCTCCAACCCAAATACTCGGACATGTTACATCTGTTGTACAAGATTGCTAGATCCCATGTTTGTCCTTCTCTGAAAGCATTCTTTAGATGCTGAGCATGGTAACCAAATACCGACAGTATTCAAAGCAAAGAAGAACTTCTCAGTGCCTACCTACTTAAGCTAAACCAGCTCCACAACTTTTGAAACGAACTACAAGGACTATGAAATCAGGTCTGGCAGAAAACAGCACAGTGCTACTGTATTTTAGTGTGCCACAGAGAGGCACAGTGCCAAAAGAAGGTCTAGAGGCATGAGAGAAGAGTCTTGGTTTGCCCAGGGCCAAGATTTTCAGAGATTGGAGTGATTGTATGGTGGAGTTATGCTCCAGGCAAGAAGCAGAAAAAGGACAGCACTTAGTATTGTGGAAAACAATGAAGATTTCTTTCTTCCTCATTTTAATTTAAATCTCATCCTAGACTTCTTGACTTCTAGTGTCATATCAAGAAAGCTGTCAGCAAAACTCTAGGTTTTGAGAACATTTGCTCCTTAATTAGCCACCATATTGCAAGGGTAATTCTAGTACAAATTATCATGTATAAAGAATAACCCTACCATGTTCTCATACCTGGCAAGTTTGCCTTCACGGTAAGTCCTACCCCATGGATGCCGATGCTTCTGAAGAGGCCAGACATCTGGTAGCCACAGGGTCACTGACCCCTCCATGATGTCCCCGTCTGCACAAGCTGGTTCTGTTTCCCGACAATAGTAGCACTTCCCATAGAAGCAAGTGTTATTACCTTAAAAAAAATGTAATAAAGAGGTATCAGAAGAGCAGAACTTAATCCAAGGGATGCCAACTGAAATTCGGGAGCATACTGTTGCAGCAGAGCCTTCCCTGCAATAAGATTTCACTGCACTTGATCTCATGCTTTCTACCTCTGAGAGGGAGAGGCTCAAGAGATTAAACAGACATCTATTCATTCAAAGCAACGTTAAAGACTAATATTCAATGGAGAGAGTAATTATATTTTCTAATGTTTTTATCACACTGAGAATTAATGCAACATTGCACTATCAACAAGTTTTTGTGATCCCTTCCTAGTCCTTAGGACCTTGACTTTGCAAACTTAGCACTCCTTGTTTTTTAAATTTCACACTTCATGTGTCAGATTTCTCACTTTTTTGAAAAAGTAGACCAAAAAGAGACAAGTGAAAAAAGACTAAGCAGAACTCAAATGGATTTGGAGCCCTGAGACCTGTCACACATCTCAGTTACTTGAGCTGACTCAGCAGGGGAAACACAAAGGAGCTGTCATTCTTATATGACCTAGGAACGCAGATCTGTCAAAAGTTTCATGTGTGTCTTCTGACAGGAGAGGAACAATGAAACCCTGCAGTCTTTAGTCATTAAGGCCTACGTAGCCTGTAGTGTACAGTAATCTACACAGCCTAGATTAACATTTTTAGCTTAACTTTTTCTATTTCACCCTTCTAACCTGCCTTCACTCGACTCTTACCAAGTCAATTCCAGTTCCATATTCACAGATGTTCTTCCAAAATGTTCTCCAACTATGCCTCACTCCCTTGTGATTCCACTTATTCCCTGTCCTTTCTTCCTTTGGCCCTACATCCAACATCCTCCAGCCTCCCCAAACCAGGCCCAGCTCACTGACTGATGTGTTTTCCACTTGCCATCCTTACACCACGAGCCCAAATCCCTCATCACAATTCCTTAGCCGGCCAGCACTCCTTTGCAGTCCTCCATCCAGACCCAGCTCTTGTGCTCCTAGTATCCCAGTCGGACAGCTTGGGGACATCAGAGACATGATCGTTTACAACACAGAGCTTGCAGCAGATCAGATCTCTTATTTGTATGGAAAGCCCTGCAAGTCTCTCTTCCTACTCATGGCCTGCAGCAGGTCTAGCAAGAGACAGAATTCTTTGAGATTCTAGCTGCCACTCCAGCAAATCTGCACTGAGTATGCATGAATTATCTTTTCTTCAAAACCTCAGAAATTTGGTCAAATTTGGGTTGACAAGCGATCACAACCTTCTCGCCAGATCCACCCATTTCTTGGTTCACGCTCTGCAGAACAGGCGGTTCCAAGGAATCTAAGGAAAGGCAATGAAAATTCCTGGAGCCATACTTTTCAAGTCAGCATTCTGCTAGAAAACTGCTTAGTTATCTTGGCTGAAATTAGAAAAAGTAAAGTCTGCCTGAGGCAGACACCCAATCTGAATGCAGAAAGAGTTTGGCAAGGCAGAGCTACTCTCATCTGAAAGTTACACCTTATAACTGAAAGTGTTCCGCAAACTTAGTAAGTGAGACTACCAACAGTGCTTGTAATAGAAATACACACAGGCACACATATTTATCAGCTGTAATGAACAATCACCTCTAGAGTCTTCTTATTGGGGGGGAAGAAGGCGGGGAGAGTAATAATTGGATATTTTATGAAAGCCTGAAGGAGTTAAGGCTGCAGCATAAGTAATTTCTTGGTGTTTAATGACCACCTGGTAGGAGTTCACATGAATAATTCCCATTAAGTGCCCTTCACGGCATTATTAGTGTAAACAACATACGGAAGTTCTGACACATTTAGTTATGAAGGCTCAGCAGACTCTGACGTAGCACAAACAACATCTAACACCAACCGACTATAAATTATCCCAAACCACCACTGTGTTCATGTTAAATACAATTCCATTTTTTCCCTTCAGGTCCAATCATAGACTTTTCTAAGCACCTCTGACAGCAGAGAGAAAATTCTCACTCAAAAAAAATCCCATCTGTAACAGCAGTAAGAGGGAACACAGAGAAGTTATAGAGGAAAAACTGCTTGGAGAAAATCAAGTCCTCCTCCCCCGCCAAATGGGGTTATACAAGCGTTACGATCTCTCTTGGCACAGAAAGAGACTTACCAGCTTCCTGTATCATAGTTAACTGTTCTATAACTGTGTCAGATTCCCATGGCTCTTTTTCCCCATTAAACACGTTTTTCTTTACTGGGCTGCACAATCCATGGAATCCACTTACCCACAGTCATGAAGGTACCCAGAAGCTGCTCTGTGGCAACTGGTTTGATCTCTGTACGTAGATTCACAAACCTGCCAACCACCAGCGGAGCCCGTCGGAAACCCAGAATTCTGATTTGGGGTGAAAAAAACATGACACGAGAATTTGCAACATAGGCAGCAGCTCCAAATTAAAACACAACCAAACGAAACCACAGTCTCTGTGCCATTGTCTGAAACTGAGATGACTGAGACCAAAGAATAAAGTTGGAACCCCGCAGCAACCTCCTCTCTTCTCCAAGGCAAAGTAAGGAAACTCATTTTTCTTAAGTGCCTGGATGTTAAACCTGCTTTATAGGCCATCAGTGACACTCCTTTATTAGAGCATTTGCAGCAGAGCAACACAGGATGCACCATGCTCCAACTCTCAGAAATCAGACCTCATACCAGAAATATCCGTCATCTGTCTTGAAGGCATCTGTCTACAGGCTGAAGCAGTAACCATATGGCCTTTGGGCTGATCACCTGGAAAGATCATTTACAATTTGTGGGAATTACTATCTATTAAAATGTTACGTTTAAGCCCAATTCAATTATACTTGAAACTAAACAATCTAGGAATTATTTTGTTTGGCATGAGGGAGGAGAAGGGAAGAGAGAATGGTAGAACAAAACTGAATGTCTGAAGTGTCTGGAAAAAAAGAGAGGTGGGAAGAGTAATCATAAAACTTACAGTCACAAGATCCAGGTTCCACTCCCATGCCTGCCACAGTCTTTGCTCTGTGACCACAAATGACTTGGGTATTTGTAACAGAATTTTAACGCTTAAGGGATGAGTACAAACATCAGTACAACGTCAGCCCCAACTCTCTTCATGTACTTTTGATACCTTTTTGAGATTTCTTTGCATCTCAGAAAAAGAGACTGAAAAGGGACTGTCCCTTCTGAAAAAGGGACAATCTACATTCCACAGAAATACTGGGAGAGTCACTCTTAACAGCTGCAAAGTATTTTTTTTTAGATATTCAACAAGTATGTCCCCTTCCATAAGTATAAAATACCTGTAAGAAAGGGCAACACAAACGACTGCCTGAACAAATCACGTACACATAAAGACAAAATTCATAGCCAATACAGACAGTTATGCACAGCTTGAGAAAATGCAGGTGTTCCAAGTAAATAAGCAGAGAGCTGGAAAACCTGTCCCTGTATTTTCAGACCCACAGCTGAAAGGCCAGTATATCCTGGATAGCACAGCCTCCCCACTAGTGGTAAACATACGATATTTTTCAGGTCCTTCATGAAACAATGACATCCTCAGACAAAACGTGTACCTGTCACCATTCAAAATAAAGGTACACGCTAAAGTTAGGTGGGCGGGCAGCTTCTGCTCGGTATTCTTGAAGAATATAGAGGTGCATACCCACAAAGAGGAGAAAGGCCAGAGAAACAAGCACCAAAACACAGCCAAAGAAAAAACACGGAAGAGCTAAGAAAGAGGGGTTTGGACACTGGAAAGAGGCTTTGAGTTGTTGCTTTACCATGTTTGATTGTTGCTTTTTCAGGGAAACACAAGTCTGCATTTTTCTTGAAAGCACAAATAGACAACAGACATCTGGCTATATCTTTTTCTTTTTTTTTTTGTCTTAAAATACCCTGATTTTGGCCCACTACCTAAAGATTGCAACAACAGCGATGGGTATTACACAACTGGTTTTACACAACTAGAATTACTAATTTCCATTGCCTGTGCAATGAGTTCCACAGGTGAATTATGACTAACATATCTTTTACCACCTATGAATTCAGTCACAGTGACCAGCCTCTTATTTATGTACTAGGAAGACTAAAACCTCAGTTTAAGTTCAACCATTTGATTCTTTATTATATTTGTCCCTCCTTATTCCCTTTCCCAAGATTTTAAGTCTCTTCATATGAGAATTTTTCACGTTTAATTATCTTCCGAAATCTTCTCCACAGTGCCAACATGGTCCTCCTACAATGAGGAGACCAAGACTGCGCTCATTTATTCTAGATGAAACTCCACCTTTAACTCATATTTCATAACTATCAACATTCAGTGTTTGGCAATTGCTGTCCCATTCTTTGTATGTCCTGTAACCTTGGTTTTTTTCTCCCGATAATTGCACCTCCAGCTCAGGTCCACAAAACCACCTGGATACCCCTGAATACAATTAATATATGAATAGCTGTTTTTCCTTTAGGATGCATTAATGCATATTTAGTCTAGACTATATTGTTAGTCTAGACATTAGACTTAACTTTTTAGCATACTGGACATTAACTTAGCACATACATTCAGCATTTCAGACTCTTCCACAGGATTTGGCTAAGCTCTTTCTTATGTATAATACGAAGTATCAGTGGTTTCTGTGCTCCTTCTCCTTTTCAAATTTCTCAAACAAATCTGAAACGTTAGAATCTTGCACAGATCCTTGAAATGAAGTTTTACAAAAAAGCTAATAATTTTTATTTTTGGCTTCAATATGATACATTGGCAGATTTAGAAATAGCTCACATCTGAGGTGTATTCTTCAAGGGACCTCCCCCCCCCAGCCCCGACTCTGAAAAAGCATTTACCAGAGACAATAAAACCATTAGTTCCATACCTATCCAAGTGAAAGGCTGCCACTTCTGCGTTGTGTCTGTCATAGCCAGCATATGGTTCTCCTTCCACTACATAATCCCTGGCATATCTGTAATTGAAATAAGTCAAATAAATGCAGGATTCCCATCAACTCTGCTGTTCAGAGTAACAAATGCAGTAACAGTGCTAAGTTAAACAGACTTGGGGTCACTTTCAAAATGATTGCCCATGGGAGAGGGAAAATTATTAATGAGATTAAATAGTGTACAGACTGCTGAAGTAGTAAATAAGGAGGAAAGGTCAGTAATGTACAGTGCTCTGAAGAGCTTGGGAAGCGGTGCCCATTCAAACTAATGAGTTTTAATTCAACCATATGCCAAGTCACATCTAAGAACAAAGAGCACAGACCCAGCTACAGAACAGGGGGCTATTTATACTGGAAAGCAGCAACTCCACAAACAATTTTGGGGTTAGAATGGATTGTAGATTAACATGAAAATACAATCTGATATTGTGGAAGAAATGCCAAATGCAATCTTTAGTAGCTAGAAGACCAGCAAGTGTGAACCCGAGGACAATACTGGATATAAAAAGACCCTTTATTCTGGTGGAGAAAAGACATAATGAACAGCAAGAAATAGAAATTAGACACTCATTACAACAACAATGGTATATTTTGGTGAAGTGGTAGGCTGCTTTTTTTTTTTTTTTTAAAATAGATGTTACTTCAGTAGTCAAGGCAAACACAAATTTCTGAGATTCATGACATTTGAATCAGGTCGAGATATTGCTTAAGAAACATGCTTCAGATGAGCATACAATCAATACCAAGCAAATGGGTGAAATGCAATACATTTTCAAATAAAGCATGGCCAAATTAGATTACCTATTTTGTCATTTCCATCTATGTATCAAATTGTGTAAACTGGATTATTTCCAGCAGACTCGGGGTTTGAGCAGTAGCAGCAACAGTGTGAGAGAAGCCACCATGCTCTACTTTGATGTTTTAACCCTGCTCAGAGAAGATCTGGGGTAAGACAACAGTCCACTTCATCAGTCTGAGCAAACGCTTTAACTTCTCGGCAAGGCAGCTCAATTAACCAGTGCGGGATGGTATAGAGTTTTTGGGAGGAGGATTCGACAGATTCTTGCCTAACTGGAACTTACTCCAAACAAGCATCTTATTTCACATATACCACTGGCATGTGATGGTAGCAACTACTAATCATTAATAACTTAAGCTGGATTTCAAGTGATTTTGAAATGAGAGAGCTAATCCTCAGAACATCTCCTCGGAGTCAGGTCTTTTGTATATACTCACAGCAGGCTTTTGAAAACATGGTCACGTTTTGAAAGCTGCAGAGCTAAAACTTAGGTAAAATGCAACCAACTTCTTGCTTCCATGCACTGTAGGCATCTAGCCCTTTCTAGAGCAAAGGCGCAAATCAAGAGAATTATTCTTCCCCAACCAGTAAGTTTTCTCAAGACGGTTTTTAGCAGTAACTTTCACATACCTTTCAGGTCAAAAGCTAGTTAAAGAGACCATCTTGCAATGACAGAACAAGACTCTGCCTACAAGCCTAGCTATTCAGCAGTCACAAACAGAACACGGGTCTTACCAGTATGGCTAGGGCCATACTGTCTAGCACCCCTATAAACTGTCTAGCACTCCTATAAACAGTCCCAGCTGCACATGTCCTTGATGGAGCACAGTCACTGTGTTCGCCTGCACAGACATTCCATTATGGGAATGTAATTCAATGCTTGGTGAAACGGTTTACAGCGCTCACTTATACAGAAAGCACTATAGAAATGTCATGTCTTGTTACTGCATTTATTGGATGAGCCGCCTGCCGTACCACCAAGACTTCTGTGTGAAAGGTTCACACTGTTTAAACACAGCCCAGCCCCACAGTGAAGCTCCAGCCAGACCAGTAATTGACCATACAGAAACAGGGCTGGGAATTCCAGAAGTAGAGGGCAGATTTTTTTTCTTCATTCTCTAATCATTCATTAACATGACAGAAAAACTTCATGCTTGCTCAACCCAATATCCTTTGGAGAGAGATGTACTCATTCCGTGATGACAACACTTCACAATTGCAGTGCTCTCCCATAAAACACACCTGCCTTACTTTTTTTACACCTTTCTTTCTTCTCCTTTTCCCCCGAAGGCAAACAGTTCAAAAAGCTTTACAGACGTGCACAAGACTCTTCATAAATGTTCAATCACGTCAAATTTCCCTGTGGATCACCGTAAACAGAAACCATACCAAGGAAGTATTGCTACCCGCCCATTCTTACGTTGCTGCTTCAGTATTCACTATGGGCAGACAGGAAACTCAGAGGCTTTCACTCTGACCTACGAAGCCATTCTTACAGTCTTCATGTAGCTACACCAGACACCCAGATCTACTTTTAAGACCACTGCCAGCTTTCACTCCTTCCCTGTTCTTGAACTGCATTCTCTCATGGCAGTTTGACATGACCCTTACTCAGAAAGAGTAGGCAAGACTTGTCTCCATGCTGCCAGAACCTGCACTTCCACAATCAGAAAGATACTGCTCAGAAACATCAGGTTTAACCAACATTCCCTCAGGACTGAACACAGTGATTATTCTTTTAACCTAAAGACAGGTTGTTTCGAGCATCAAAGCTATACAGCCTGAGAGACAGTTAGCACAGCAACCTAATGTTAGTAGAGGACCAGCAAGGCTCTGTACTGTCTGTCTTGCAAATAAGAGAGTGGCCTTTCCATTTACGTGTAAATTTGTAACTTAAACATTAACGCAACAACATGGAAATTAAAAAATTACACATAAAGCAGTTATTAATTCAGTCACTGAAGGCAATATTTACCTCTTGGGTTTGAAGACAACCTTCTGTCCTCCTTCAAGTATTAGCAAAGCTTTCAGTTGGGTCCCTTTGTATCCCACATCAGCTTTTATTATCTTCTTTGTTGTCATGGCATGCATAACAGCCCCTAGCTCGGGCGTCTCCTCGGGATACACCTCCCGGGGCACCACCCATTGGGCTGCAATTTCCCAAGGGGATTGCAACGTATGGTCAAGTCGGGGGTCCAGTTCTATATGGAGGCTTGCCATCATACGGTGAAAGGCGCGCTGGTCCTCCCGGTTGGCAGCTGAGGTGTCCAAGTTGTCAATGAGGAAAACTTTTGTGAAAATGAAGATGACAAGAAGGATGGCCAACAACACAACTCGCTGCTTTAGCTTCATGGTGACCTTCAACCCTTCTCCCCTGACCCTTTCTTCCAAGCGTTACAGGAAGTCTATCGGAGATCAGGGTGAGGAAGGGGATGTTAGTTACTGAATTTCATTCGTAACTTGCATTGTGAAAGAGGTATCACCACTGAAGCATCTTCTGGTACCCCTAAAAATAAAGAAAACACAGACTTACAAAACTGCCTTCCTGCAGATCCCACCAAACTCAAAATCAAGTTTACTCTTGGAACATAAGTTTGCATTTATGTACACTTGTACCCTAAAGCCTGTCGTGGTTTAACCCCAGCCGGCAACTCAGCCCCACACAGCCGCTCACTCACTCCCCCCCGGTGGGGTGTGGGAAGAGAATCAGAAAAGTGAGAAAACTCGTGGGTTGAGATAAAGACAGTTTAATAGGGAAAGCAAAAGCCGCACATGCAAGCAAAGCAAAACAAGGAACTCATTCACTCCTTCCCACCGGCAGGCAGGTGTTCAGCCATCTCCAGGAAAGCAGGGCTCCATCATGCGTAACTGTTACTTGGAAAGACAAA